CCAACGGGCCCTTCAAAAGCTCGCTTCGCACCTGAGGCCGCAGGCGCGCCAGATTCTGCCGCCAGGAGCTACCCAGGCGCCGAGCCTTGGGGTTGGGTTCCCCAAAAAAAGCGCTGAACTTCCACTTGGTGAAATGAATATGTTTTATTTTCCCCTGGTGGTTTTAAAGGGAGTCGATTTCACTACTGGACAGGTTAAGAACTGTTTTCTGCTCCCCTGCTGGTTTTAAAGGGAATCGATTTCACTACTGGACAGGTTAAGAACTGTTTTTATGCTCCCCTGCTGGTTTTAAAGGGAATCGATTTCACTACTGGACAGGTTAAGAACACTGTTTTTATTTTCCCCTGGTGGTTTTAAAGGGAATCGATTTCACTACTGGACAGGTTAAGAACACTGTTTTTATTCTCCCCTGCTGGTTTTGAAGGGAATCGATTTCACTACTGGACAGGTTAAGAACACTGTTTTTAATTTTCCACTGGTGGCTTTAAAGGGAATCGATTTCACTACTGGACAGGTTAAGAACACTGTCTTTATTTTCCCCAGGTTGTTTTAAAGGGGATCGATTTCACTACTGGACAGGTTAAGAACTCTGTTGTTATTCTCCCCTGCTGGTTTTAAAGGGAATCGATTTCACTACTGGACAGGTTAAGAACACTGTTTTTATTTTCCCCTGCTGGTTTTACAGGGAATCGATTTCACTACTGGACAGGTTAAGAACACTGTTTTTATTCTCCCCTGGTGGTTTTAAAGGGAATCGATTTCATTACTGGACAGGTGAAGAACACTGTTTTTATGCTCCCCTGCTTGTTTTACAGGGAATCGATTTCACTACTGGACAGGTTAAGAACACTGTTTCTATTCTCCCCTGCTGGTTTTAAAGGGAATCGATTTCACTACTGGACAGGTGAAGAACACTGTTTTTATGCTCCCCTGCTGGTTTTAAAGGGAATCGATTTCACTACTGGACAGGTTAAGAACACTGTTTTTATTCCCCCCTGGTGGTTTTGAAGGGATTCGATTTCACTACTTGACAGGTTAAGAACACTGTTTTTATTCTCCCCTGCGGGTTTTAAAGGGAATTGATTTCACTACTGGACAGGCTAAGAACACTGTTTATATTTTCCCCTGGTGGCTTTAAAGGGAATGGATTTCACTACTGAACAGGTTAAGAACACTGTTTTTATTCTCCCCTGCTGGTTTAAAGGGAATCGATTTCACTACTGGACCTCAGGACCCAAACCCCTTTAATGACTTTTGTCCGGCGTAAAACGGTGGCTCCCTGTCGCGAGATTGCGCCGAAATGTGCAGGCCAAGGCCCAGATGGAGCTTGGCAGAGAGGTGCGGCGCTGCCGAGCCGAACTGGTTGCCAAATAGTTAAAAAACATAATAACAATCTTCCCAGAAAGCCAAAAAGAGACGGGCAATTGTGTAATTTGTATTTGTTCCTTTTGTTGTCGGTACCCAAGGCCTCTGAGGTTGTGGACTTGTGGCTTTTGCAAAATGCCCAACCGGTTGCAGGCGAGGGCGTTTTTGGAAAGGCGTTTGCCTCTAGCGCGGCCAATGCCTAAGGTTCAACTACTTTGGGGATGTGGTTGCGCGGCAATCCCAAAGCAACCAATCCCAAACCAGCCCAAACAACTTGCCTAACCAGCCCTTCCCGGGACTAAATGAAGCCCAAACAAACCCAAGACCCTGGCCTCATTGGGCCTGCAGTGAAGGATGTGTCGAGTTGCCTGGTTCCATATTTCCTCTGTTGGTTCCCCTTTTTGGCCCATTTCAGGTGAGCTTCCCCTGAGGGCTGATGCTTTACCGAGAATTCGCCCATCCCGGTCTCGAAGAAGCTGGTGACTGACTTGCGGAGGTCTGGTTGGCTCGGCTGCCGGTGTTCCACACCTGGCCGGCTGTGGCCCCAGCTTGGCTCGCTTCTGATCGATTGTGTCGGGTCAAAAGCGCGGAAAACTCAGGGGTTCCACCAGCCATGCGGTTCCTTAGCTTGGGTGATGGGTGTCCGATTTTTTCCCCACAAGACGCAAATCTGTCAAAAGAAATCCAGAATCCAGCAATCTCCAAGTGCATGCCTTTGGCAAGCAACAAGTTAAGACATCATTTTTGTTGGCCAACCCACTCAGGAAGTGAGTGTTAGTAAGTGTTACCGTAGTGGATGGGGGGCATCCCCCAATGGGTAATCAACGTCCCTTCTTGCTTGGTGAGTCCCTTTTTCTTCCAACTCCAAAGCAGTGAGGTTCCACGGCATGATGAGAGTGTGCCACTTTGGGGTTCTTGGGAAACCATGGGAAGCCTGAGGAAAGACACATTTATACCCATGTTCCCTCCCCATTGGGCTAAGGTTCCGGCATTTCGTATGGAACCCCAAGTTATTTGGGGTCCCAAACCCCCGGTGCACCGACCCCGGGTTCGCAACCTCGGCAGCACGGATCCGCGGATCCGCGGCGGCCGGGGTGCCCCACCCCCGTTATTATATGGATTTGGGGGAGCGGGGTGACTCTGCAAATCTCCATGTATGGTTCCATGTTCCATTTATTCGGACTACCCTCCCCTCCCCCGTGGGGGACGAATCCTGCACCACCGTTCAGAAACCTGGAATGAGTTGATTCCCCAACGTAAATGCCAACAAAGCTTATGGGTTCAACCATGGCTTCATTTCGTGGTGCGAACGGAGAGGTCTTCCACCCTGGTTGGAATCAGACCACTTTTGGAGGGCCCCCCCCATCCTATTAATACGCTGGGACTGATTCATCGGGGGAAACCATGAATCTGCAGGGCAGTTTCGAAGGCCAAGGCACCCTGAGTTTAATGAGGAAACTTTTGGAGGCGCCCCCACCCTCACCCACCCACCCCCCCCCCCAAGGAAAAAAAACAAACAGACGCAAATCCATCCCCCCCCCCCCAAAAAAAAAAAAAAAAAACTCCCCCCAAAAAAATAAATCATAAAAATCAACAAAACACCCTGGAGTTGATGAATGTGGGGGTCAACTTGGCGCCGAGGTCTTTTGGACCGCCCGCACGGAGGTGGTGCCGGCCTCCGCGGTGCATTGGCCCGACGAGACCTGGGCGCAGCTCTCCCCGGCCGCCGGGAGCTCCAACAGCCCCACTTTCCTTGGGGTACGTGCACCACCCATTTTAGGACCGATTTTAGTGGTTGGATTGGGATGTTCAGTGGCCCATGAAAAGTGAGTGTCCCTTGGTGAGGGTGATGTTCTAAGGGGAAATATAGGGAGCCCTGTCTTTACGGGTCAGTGCATTCAAGGATTCAAGAGCCATACGGGTGAGCACTTTCTGGGTTACCTGGAAGGAAAATGCATCGAATGGGGCCCGGCTTCCTTTTTGGTTTTCCATGAAGCAGCACAAGTTTACCCGGCCCCCCTTTCCCGGCGCCCCCCCCGGCCCCGAAGCAAACCGCCCGAAAAGAACGGCTCATGGCCGGGGTTTGAGCTGCACTATGTCAAGCAGATTGTTTGTTTTTGGTTTGGGTTGAGCTGTATTGCTGTGGATGGACCAAATCCTGGCCGGAAACCATAAGATTTGTTCCTATTTACACCGGGAATCGATTCATTCCAGGGTTTCTGAACGGTGGTGCAGGATTTCGTCCATCCACAGTATGTCAAGAGCAAAGAGGAGCCAACCGTTGAAGGGAGAGGAGAGAAGCTGCACGCGGGGTTCTTACGATGTTGGGGGAAGTCCTGTCATTGCGCTTGAAGAAAAACAAAGGCGAGTTATTGCGGGAATCTTGCTTACAAGTGGTCGCAATCCTGGCCAATGGCCAGGTTTGTTTGCATGGCAGCTGCTTGGGGCAAGCTCACTCTGTAGCTCACCCATGGCGGATCCTTTTATCAGTAATTCTACGTTCAGTTTTTTGGGATTCCTCATGATTCCAATTTTCACCAAAAACGGTCAGAGTGCCACAGGTGCGTGACATCTTGGAGGGCAGCCTCGCCGGCGAACGGCGGCAGGCGACCGAGAGAATGTTCACCCGTCCGGAGTCGAAGGTAAGTCTCTAAGCGACCTAACAATAAGGCAGTACCTTTAGCACGCGAAAGCCAGCACCGTTTAGACGTACGGCCAGTCAGGTGACGCCTTTTCGTTTCTGGCCTTTGCAGCATGTTTTGGGCATTGCTTATGCTTGTTTGCTTATTGAGGGGGTCCTTGACGAGCTGCAGCCGGAATGCAGCAACGCCTGCCCAACCACCTAGAACTTTGCAGGCGCTTCATGCCGACTTGCTGCCCTTGACTTCAGGGCCTGCAGGCGGGCGGTTTGGGGTTCCGAGAGCATGGGGGTGGTTACCCCAAAGTCCAGGCGACATGTTCATCCAGCTGCGTTCCTATCCTCCAGGTTTTGCGGTTTGGCATGCCACGAAGCAAGCCGCACTAGTCACCCCGCGCCCAGTGATTCGCATGCCCTCGAACGGTTGAACGTACCTCGGCGTTGCTTGTATCTGTTTTGCGGGGAAGCGGCAGGGCTGGTGGTTTTCAGCTTGTAGAACTCCGTGCGAGGCCCGGGTGTTGCCTTGGACATTGAGGGGGCCACCGAGAAAGAGGCCTTTGACCTGCACGGTTGTGGCAGGTCACTCCTGTAAAGCTTCGCTCGAAATATCCATGGTTTCAAGTTGATCCCCTCACCCCCACCAAGAAAAACACTCACCTTTCGTGGGCCCAAAAGGTGATGCTTGAAAACCACCAAGAAGTTGGACATTTTGGGAACCCTGTAAAGTCAACCCTGGGACGTTGAATTTGGGGCTCACTAAATGTCCCACTTCAAAAGCTCAGGCATGTCGCGAGTGTTTTTTCACATGCCACACTTGTCTAACCTCGAGTCTCTGCTGGGAAAGATGGGCCAAGCCCGCCGTCCCATTGTTACTAGGCAAGTCTTTCGCAGGTCTCCAGTGTGTGTGTGTGTGTGTGTTCCTTTTTGGGGGTGACTTCAAGGAACCAAACGGAAACCAACAACTTTAGGAGTTCCCCAATTTTGAGACACCCGCATACGCCAGAGTCATTGTATCAGTTCTTGAATCCTTGATCCGTGCTTCGGCACGGATCGCTTGCGCTTCCCCGCTGCCAGTTGCGGAGGTGCGGGCCGCGAGGACTTGCTTGCAGTTTGCAAAGAGACAGCTACCTCAGTCAGCCGCAAGCCAAGAGCGAGAGAGGGACGGAGAGAGAGAAGGTGAGCACATGAGCGAGGGAGAAAGAGAGTTCTAGGGGTACCTTCCCCATTCTTTCCAGGAATCCTTCTTTCTAGAGAACCTTCAGAAACCGAGGGAAAACGGGCTGGTTTTGAAAAGAACGATGGTTGAATCAACCCCAAAGCAACCAACCATGGCCAAAACCAGCCCAGACACCAGTGGAGGCATTGTGACGCCAAAACAAAGGCCAGCAAGCGCTGGGAGTCACCAGGCGGTTAAAAAAAAAAAAGATGGTTGAAAAGAATGGAACCGGAATCAACCCCTAGTGCTGCCCCTCAAAGTTTGCCAAGCTGAGCGACCAGATCTTAGGCCATCGGGGTCCAAGATGCCATCGCACGGAAGATGCAGCGGGAGCCTCGCTCGACTTGTGGACAAAGGCTCAGTTGTCCAAAGCCGACCCTTTTGACCTCTTGGTTTTCCCATTTTGGTCCATTTTTAGTAGAGGTGCCAAAAGGTTATCCTTTTAGTTCTGGGTCCTTTGGGCAACTGAGAAGGGCTCGTTGGCCGGGACTGGGTGACACAAACCATCAAAAACCTCTCTTCCCAGAGGCTCCCGATTGAATTATGGGCTTTAAAGAACCTGGGTTTGAGACCCCCAACCACCTCCGGGTTGTCGAATGGAGGGGTCGGGTCTTCCATTCAAAGCCGAAGCCAGGAGCCTCTGGTGTCCTTTTGATCGGTGACCCTGGTTAAAAAAATGATGGCACTGACAAGAGATGGGTTTTGTTCCATTTACCAGGAAAACCCATCGATTTGTTTAACCAAAAGCCCATCTATGTCAGCCTCTAAGTCTCTAAGTATAGAAAATCGCTTTTCCCCATGGTCTGAGACTGACGAGTCACCTATTCATTCAACCGTTTGGTGCTTTTTTTGTTTTGTTTTGTTTTTGCGTCATCTGGGTGATGCCTATGGGACTCGCCGTAGGCAGTGGTACATGGAGAGTGCCGGTGCCCAAGATCAGCTTCAGCGCATTCGGTGGTCCATGCAACCGAGCGACCCAACAACCTTACCCTGCCCCACCCAAACCCGGTGCCCTTTTCCCGTTTCTTTTTTGGGAGAGGGTTCCCCAAACAGACTACAGAAAAAGGATAGCCTTATGCTCACCTCTCTACTGGTGAGTTCCCCTTGGACAAGGTCTGTCACAGCAGCTTTCGCAGGAATCCCGGTATCTCAGGTGAAGAGTGGCGTGGTGCCAGCCACTGCCCAGCAGGCACAAGCAAGGAGAGAGGGGCCTGTGGCAAATGAAACATATTTGGCCATGGGTCAAAATCCAAATCGTACCCCCAGTGAACATCCCCAACCCTACTAAGATAGGTTCTAAAATGGGTGGTGCACCTACCCCAAAATGGTACCATTGGTTTTGACCCACAGCCATTTGGCGACGAGATTTTCATCGGGAAGCCTTCAAAAGTGGTCAGTGGACAAAGAAGCCCCAACCAAAATCATGTCCACCAATGGGTCCCCAAAGGAAGAAAAACACGTGTCCAAGTCCAGAAGCACCCTATGGAAGGTGGGCTGTGTTTGAGGCGGAGTCAACGATGCGTGCCACGGGGCAGTAGTTATCAAGGCCCACAGTGGTCAACCCAGCAGATCGTTTTAGTTGTTTTTAGTGCCCCCACTGACTGCCAACCGCATGAATCATGTGTTGATGCTTGCAGCAGCAGATCCAAGAACAAATTCAGAGAGAGGAGAGAGACGAGCTCACATTAATTTATCGACAACACTGTTTACACCAGCTTTCCTGCTCTTGGCATGTGTAGTTATTGTCCTTCTTCATTTCCAGTCAGGGCCTGCAAAGAACCACACTTTGTTCCTGTGCCAGAGGGTAGGCAAGCGATGCCAGTGCACGGCCCGACCAATCGGACGAAAAATTCGTTGCGGCCTTCGCAGGTGGTGACCCTAAGCCAATGGGCAATGGAAACCAACAACTGCTCAGCAGGTGACTCAGCTTGGGAAACCAACGAGTGCTGCGAATTCAAGAACCACATCCGGAAAGTGGATTTTCGCACAAGGATCGGCAAAGACATGTTTGTTTTCCTTGGCAAATCCGAGTTTGAACCATTGGTGCCAGAGTTGGAGCTGCCAGGTCAGAGCATTATGTTCACACTTTTTTCCTGTGCCCTGCATGCATGGCATGATTTGCCGAGTGAATGCGTATGGTTTTATGACCATGAGCTTGCCATGTTGTTTGCGCATAGGTGCGTACCAACATGGGATGTCTATGCAGAAGAATTCGGCACAGAATCACCCCCTTCCGTTGGTTCTCTCCAAACTTGGTGGCTCCCAGCCATCCCCTTAGCCTTTTACCTTTTTAGTGTTTAGCGCTAGTTTCCATTTAACCCACCAAAAGTTAAACTTTTAGCGGGGGATTTGAGGGCAGCCCAGCAAAATAAGTCCTTCAAACGATTTCAAACGGGTCTTAGGGTTCTATGAATTCAGAGGCTCCCTCCGAGGTCATCACTCACGTGCTGGCCGGTGATGCGAAGCCCAAACTGCTGCCCATCGCAGAGGTCCATCGTCACTCTGAGGACTGGAGCGATTCGACGATCGTTTCGTCGTACTAATAGTTTGCCGGCAAGTGCTGCCCATTTTATCTTTATTTTTATTTTTATTTGCCAACCTGACATGGGACTCTCAACATCGGACAAGTCTGAGACTGTTTGTGGAGGGGTTGAGGGATTCTTGTCTGGCATGTTCCCGCATTGTCTTTGTTGTAAAGGGTTGCCCTCGGCCCGGTCCGAGAACCTTAGCACATGGTGTCGTGAAGCCATAAATGAGGGGTTCGCATGTGCATTCTGTCTTCCAACATACACACTTTGTTTGGCAACTGCCATGCTTGATGTGTGTGTGTGTGTCTAACTGTGTGTATATGGAGGTATATATATGTTTGCTTGCCTGCCCGCTTGCTCGCTTCCTTGCTTCCTTCCTTGCTTGCCTGCCTGCCTGCTTGCTTGCTTGCTTTCTTTCTTTGCCTGCCTGCCTGCCTGCCTGTCTGTTTGTCTGTGTGTCTGTGGTTGTGTTTCCGTGGGGTGGGGGCAGGGGCCAGCCTCGTGACCCGACAGGCGCTGGCGAGTGTGGAGAAGCTGAGCCAGGTGAAGCTGCCATACGTCTGCCGCTGAGTCAGGTCGTCGGGTTGCACTCCCCAGGAAAAGCTGCGGTCCTCTGGTGGCTTAATGTTGACCCATACCCAAATACACTTACAATATTTGCAGATCTGCTATGAATCAAGTCGGGGAATGGATTCATTTGATGGGGGATTACTCTCAGGATATTGGTTGGGCCTGCTGGATAAATCCAAACTTAAGACTATTTACACCGAAGCCTTTCAACTGTCCACTGGGAACATCCTGATGAGCGGCAGACATTGAAAGACGTGAGTGAGCCATGTCAATGTCAATGTGTGTGAAGGTCAGCATGCTCTACACTGCCAGCTCACCACAGGACTGAGTGCAGCGTGTGGCATGTCGCCTTGATATGTTTCGCTTTGCCCCGCACCCGTGAGAGAAGGATAGGGAAAGACTGCCCAGACCTGCGCCCAAATTCCTACTCGGCGCCAACCGCTTCAAGGCTGCTGGGGCTGGCCTGTTCAACTCTTTGGTCCCTGCGCGTATGCAGTTGACAAAGCAACTAGGTCCCCCAGTAGTGCCCTTTTACCCTTTTTGGGGGGAGGGCTCCACCACTAGAATTGACTGCAGAAAAAAAAGGGTACCCTTATTCTAACCTCTCTACTGGAGGACCTAGCCCTTATATGATATGCTGATTTCAAACGCTGCTTGCCACAGGACGCGCCCAAGTGGGAAGCCTTCTGGCAGCGGTGCGGCCTGAGGCACACGTTGGCAAATCTGCTCTAGTGTTCTCATGAGGGGGGGGGAGCTGATCAGCACGTCATGTCGTGAGACAAGTTTCTCAAAGTAATAGGATGAAGCGTTCATTGTGGTGGAATTCAGCTGGCCTGACTCAGCGATTTGTATGTTGCAAATCAGGAACAGGTTCCTGGGCACCTTCACCCAAATGGAACAGATGGCGCATTTGTCGCCTTTGGCAGCCTGTTTTCGTTGGGGACGATTCCTTGTACAGATTCACAGTTTGGTGAAAGTCCCCCTAGTGGCAAATAGGTATTCATTCAGAATAAAAGAATGGATGGGCGCCACTGGCTTCGGTCAGGTTCTGAAGCCAGCCATACGTGTCCTTTTGGTTCAGTTTAGCTGAGAAATAAAGGGCCTACTACCATGGCCTATTGGTTTAATCATCTACCAGGCCCATCTATTTTCCCAAATTTAGAGACACCTATGGCTCCGGCGCCATGGATGTTTCAACAGACACCTATCCAGAGAGGTCAACAGCTTCCGACTTCCCAGGTCCAGCTTCTCCTTCGTGGCCAACGTCTTGGAACTGCAGCCGGCGCCTCAACCGGGCCATCGAGGCGCGGGTCGGGCGCTGGTTGTTGAACTGGGCTCTTTCCGCAGGCGAGAGGTGTTGCGGAAGCGAAAATGCCAGCATGAAGTCGCATTCCCCCACAGCAAGGTGGAGGAGGAGGGGAAAGAGGCAAACTAGGTACCCCAGTAGTGCCCTTTTTCCAACTCTTTTTTTTGGGGGAGCTTCGGTTCCCCTACTAAAATTAGCTACAGCGCAAATCGGGGTACCCTTCTGCTAAGCTCTCTACTGGAAGGCCTAGCCAAAAAAAAGAGAGCAAACAAACCAAAGGAAGGCCAACCATTCTGAGGGCCAAGGACCAAAACGCCAAGGTCATCAGACCACGCCTGGCTTCCGAACCGGCAAGTGCCTGCACGGCGCACCTCGAAGCGGCTGCCCCAGCCATCGGTGCGGTCCGGTTGCTCCTGGAAAGACGTGGGTGTGGGTCAAAACCAATGGGATCCCATTTTGGGCTAGGTGCTCCACCCATTTTAGAACCTATTTTAGTGGGGATTGGGATGTTCACTGGGGGTACGATTTGGATTTTGACCCATTGCCACATTGACATGGGCGTGCCTCATGAAAAGCCAGGGTTGCGTTAGGTTTTAGTCTTTGGTTCCATTTAGCAAGGTGCCATTTTGCCACATTTTGCAATTTTTTTTGGATGCGCGGTGGTGATTGATTTGGAGCATGTCCTTCTGAGCCATTCGTGGGATGTTCCTCGTCAGGGTTCTGTGAGACACACGTGGAAGCTGTCGAGCAACACTTACATCCCATAGATTCTACTTATGCCTTTTTTCCAAAGAGATCAACTCTAAGGCTGTCCGGCATGGCTTCTCAAACTCAATGGATGTCGAGACGTTCCTTGAACAAAAAGTGCTGCACTATTGACCACTTGGCAGCTTTATTGGCGTAGAACCGGCTGCACCGCAGCGCGTCACCAGATTTTCAAGGGTTGGGCTGGTTGCTGGGCCATCCCCGCCGAGCAGTTAGTTAAGATATACTTGCCGATGGCCACGAAGGCTCTGTAGTCAGGTTGGGGCGCGGGACGTGGGACGTGGGCGCCCTGAGATCACGCATTCCACCGCCTTGCGGCCCGTCTGCAGCTCCGCAGCGTGGGGACCTCCGTGGTGCCCACGCTGCGAACTGCCAGCCGGGACAGCAAAGCAAGGGCCAGTTCAAGGGAGTAGCTTCCCCCAAAAAAGCCAACCGGCCATTGGGGCCGACAAGATGCTCAAGTTAATAACACAAACCAAAGTAGCTGTGTTGAGCAGTGCATGCTCAAATGGGGGACCTACAAGTGACAAGCAAGCCAAAGTAGCCTTTTGTTGAGCAGTGCAGCAGTGGATTTTTTTTATCCCGTGCCCATTGACCGCGCCCAGCCATGGAGGGAAAACCTCAGAGCGAGCCCTCCTTGCCTGAGGCGGGGAGGGCAGATGTAGCAACAGCATACATCCAAATCATTAGAAAAACCAGGATTAAAAATGAATGGGGAGGAGGGGAATCCTTTTGCATGGTTTAATCCGAGGGGTTTCCGCGTAAGGTCCGAGGGGTTTCCGCGTAAGGGAAGTCCATGGAAAACCTGCTGTTCAGGAATTCCGAGCCAATACTGCTATAAAAAACGGGCATGATCTTCTCCAAGTCTGCGCTAACTCCGCGCAAGTTTGCGCAGCCTTCGCCTCAAATGGGGGTTGCCCAGACTTGGTAGATTGGGCCCCTTGGTTGCATGCTGTAGGCGTCATGGATGAATCTTCCGTAAGACCCAATCGAATCTTCCAAGATCTTAGGCGCTCTGAAGCACCGACCTGCGACTCCTGGGTCGGGCCAAATCGAATCTTCCAACATAGGCGCTCTGAACCGACCTGCCGGGACTCCTGGGTCGGGCCAATCGCTTTGCCCCTTGACCATAGGAATCGGCAGCTTTTGCATCGCGCAGGCTCGCGAGGCAGTTTCGGCGAGCGGGACGGACATGCCCAAGGCAGCCGCACCCAGCGAGGCGGAAGAGAGCCGTGCTCCAAGGTTTAGCTTTCCACAGGACTGGGATCACGTGGAATGCCGGGATTTGCTCGTGGGACAATTGCAGAGTTAGATGGGTGTGGCTCAAAATTGAAGAGGGGTTACGCAGGTTTGGTCTTTGGTTCCATCCAATGGGCCAAGTGGGCACCAGTTTTTTGAGCCACATCCAGATGGAGCTAGTGGGGTTGTGTGTTGGCGTTGCGACACAGCAGCGCAGCACAGCCCCTGGAGGATCTGCAGGATCGAGACAGCAACGCATCGCAGGATAGTGCACGGAGTGCCCGTCCCCTTGCCTGCAAGTGCATGTGTGTGTGTGTGTGTCATGCTTGAGGTTCCACTCACTCGCGCATCCCCTTCATACTGTGGATGTACCCGTTGGTACCGTTGGTAGGTGATTTATCCCATGATTTGCAGGATTTCATCTATCCAGGTGGTGCAGGATTTCGTCCATGTGAGGAGGGCTGAAAGCAGACATGAGCAACAGACAGTGCCAGAGCGTGAGGATACTCCAATATTGTATTTTTGCAGGTTGGTGGGCATTAATTTGTGTAGACCCCTATCGATATGTCGAGTTTTAAAACACTTATACCTCCTTCTGTATATATATATATGTATGTTTAAACATATATATATATATGTGTAATGAAATGAAATGTAATGTAATGTAATGTAATGTAATGCAATGTAATGTAATGTAATGTAATGTAATGTAATGTAAAGTAATGTATGTATAATCGTATATGCATATGTATATTACTGTATATTCATTGTTATGTGCATGCTTATGCAATATAAGCTTATGGGCTTGTCTCCAAATGGTGTCCCCAAAAAGGGTGGCTTGTCCGTGCCCCTGCAAGAAGCTGAGGCGACGAGGGCTTCTCCCTGGCGGGATTCGCCGCCTTGGCTCGGCGCGCCATGAGGGACGAGCCCAGATGGGTGCCGGATGCAGAGGCGACAGGGGGAGTTTAGCAGGGCTCCTTCAAAGATACATTTTGCAACCATTTGAAACATGGCTTTTTCCCACCCAAAATAAAGGGAACCACCATTTACAAGGCAATGTTCCGGTGTATAATGTGAGGATCCCTGTTTAGTCTTCTATTCATTCCCTACCCAGAGGCTCCCGATTCGGGGTGTCTAATGGAGGGGTCGGGTCTTCCATTGAAAGCCCCCGATTGGTTTTGGGGCGTTAAAGAGATCCTGGTTTTGAGACCCCCAACCACCTCCGGGGGTGTCTGATGGAGGGGTCGGGTCTTCCATTGAAAGCCCCAGGAGCCTCTAAGTATAGAAAATAACTTTTATCATGGCCTAAGACTGATGAGTCTTCACCTATTCATTTGCGTTTTTAGAGAGTCGCTTTTCTGATGGCTTAAGACTGATGAATTTGACGTACGACTTACTGCGGGCTATCAAAGTCGACAACTGCGTTTGGAACATGGAAGAGCCACATTGTCAGTAACATTTCACCACCAGCCAGCACCCCTTGAAGCCATCAAGGAATGCTTCTAGGACAGTACTTGGGGTTGGTTGCCTTTCATCATTTTGGTGCTGAGATTTCTCCACGACTTCAAGATTTGAGCACCCTGGATCTATTGTCTTATTCCCGAAGCGCGCTCACGAGCTACGAGAAAAGATGACTGCAAGTAACCCTGTAAGGCTCTGCAAGGGCTTCAACGATCTGTGCAATGCCAGATGCTCTGCGGTCAACTCCCTTTTGTTTTGGGCTTGCGTGGGTGGTCGTCTGCCCTGTATGAGGGGTTCAGTCGTTGCTCAACCCTTTGCGAATCCAAACTGCTCGGGATTCCTTTCGGGGGTCCGCGTATGCTTGTGCAAAACTTGTTTCTGGGACCATTCTCCACCAAGAAAAACCCGGCCCCTGAGTCAAGTCGTGCGGGATGGCGGGGTTGGCCTTTGGAGTTTTCGGCATCCCCACCCACCCCCTTAACAACTGACCCCTGGAATTCCATTTGTGGTTCCATTTTCCCTTTTATGGGGAAGACTAGATAAATGGAATTGGGGACTCCCTACCCGCCTCGGCCCGCCTCCTGAAGGTAGGGAGGATTTTTCGGCCCTGGAGCCCCCTGGCCGTAGGAGAAGGTCATCATGGCTCGGGCCATCAAGCGGCTCCGCGAACGACTCAGCGCTGCATCACAGGCAGACACGCAAGCTGAGAAGCTAAAGCACTTGGAGAAGATGCGACCCTCGAATGAGTGCGGAATGCATGTGTGTGTGGGGCTCTCTCTTTTTCAGGGTACCTTTTTTGGGATTTCGTTTTACAGGGAAACCAAAAAGGCACCGGCAATTTGTTGGGGTCCCCTAGGAAAGACAAACCCACATAGTTTGTTTGTGCTTGAAATTGAGTATGTGCAAAAGAAATCAAAATGGAATGTGTACTTTTGCAAGTTTTGCCGAGGCCCCATCTTCACCCAAACCCAAATTGGTTTGGCTCTTGGTAAAGGGATACCCATTTGGTCTCAAGGGAGCGGAGTCTCAAGGGAGGGCAAGGTGATTAGAATTGTCGTATTTGACACAAGGCTTGGCAGAAAGTACCACGGCAGAGGGGGGGGCATCAAGCACTCAGGGCGGTCACTTCGGCCCCTGCTGGCTTGGTGTCCGAGATTGAATTGCATCCTTGGGTCACAAATTGCCTTATCGTGGGAGATGCTGAGCTCCAACAAATAGCAAGGAAAGGCATATTGTGGCGCAAGCTGTCTCGGACAGACAAATTGCCCATCCATGGAATGGAATGAGCTTTCAATTTTCTAGCTGCTGGCTACTTTTCAGTTTGTCACCCTTAATTGTATTTGCTACGTCGCCCCCAAAAGCATGATTCATTCCCGGTGGGTAAACCGGCCCGTTCATTCCCGTCAAAACAAGCCTGAGTGCCATAAAGTACCTTTCTAGAAGGTACCAAGGGACCCTCTGGGTAATGTCCTTTCCTTTGAAACCGAGGAAGCTGTTTGCAGGTCCCAGCCCAACTCTCCCGTTGGAGTCTGGAACCCGCTCCGATTTCAGGAAAGATGGCCAGCCGGGGCAGCACGGATGCCAGGGCCTCCATCATGGTGCCCCGGGCGGAGTACCAGCTCTCCAAGGGCGAGCTGGACTCCCCTCCCTCTCCAGGCACTCGGCGACGGGGCATCCTGAGGCCGGGAGAGGGGAGGGTTTTTTCGGCGGAAGTAGGGCGAAGGAAGAAGCTTCGGGATGGAAATTTGGGGGTTTTCCTGGTCTTTCAGGCACTCGAAGTTCCAGATAGCAGTTCCCTCTTTTCCCTGAAGGTCTTTGTCGGGCCTGGTATGATGCTTGTCAGGCCCCTACCTGGAAGGAACGCTGCTGGCGTGGTTCGGAAAACCGGCGATTGGGACCTAAGGGAAGCCAC